ACATCTTTGTTGGTATGTGGTGCTGAGGATCGAACCCAGGCCGCACGCATGCCAGGCGAGCGCGCTACCGCCTGAGCCACATTCCCAGCCCTCAACTAGGCAWATTTTAAAAATTTGTTCTTTTTAGATATACATGACAGTAGAATGTATTTTGGCACATTATACATACATGGAGTATAAGTTCCCATTCTTGTGGTTGTGCATGATGTGGAGTTACACTGGTCACGTATTCATGTCAACATAGGAAAGTTACGTCCAATTCATTCTACTGTCTTTCCTATTCTCATTCCCCATCCCTTTCCTTCATTCCTCTTTGTCTAATCCATTGAACTTCTATTTTTCCCTCCCCTGTCCCTTATTATGTGTTAGCATTGGCTTTTGGTTTTCTGGGATTGGCTTATTTCACTTAGAATAATAGCCTCCAGCTCCACCCATTTACCTGCAAATGTCATAATTTCATTCTTCTTTATGGCTGAGTAATATTCCGTGTTTGGTTTGTGTGTGTGTGTGTATGTGTATATATATATATATCACATTTTCTTAATCCATTCATCTGTTGAAGGACACCTAGATTGGTTCCATAGGTTAGCTGTTGCAAATTGAGCTGCTATAAACATTGATGTCGCCACACCATATCAGTATAATATGCTGATTTTAAGTCCTTTGGAAATATGCCAAGTGGGATAACTGGGTCAAATGGTGGTTCCATTCCAAGTTTTCTGAGRAATCTCCATACTACTTTCCAGAGTGGTTGCACCAATCTGTATCCCACCAGCAATGTATGTCTGTACCTTTTCCCCCACATCCTCACCAATATTTAATGTTACTTGTATTCTTGATATTTGCCATTCTGACTGGAGTGAAATGAAATCTCAGTGTAGTTTTAATTTGCATTTCTGTAATTGCTAGAGAAATGTTAAACAATTTTCCATATATTTGTTGACCAATTGTTTCTTCTGTGAAGTACAACTAAGCACATTTTTAGTGCTTGACAGCTTATGTGCTTTGTTGGTACCATACTGKACAGCACTGGTCTGTATTCTAGAACTTTCATTTCTGTAACATAGTATAGACAGAGACTTTCCAAAGAGCTTTTTAGTGAAAACTTTGGTTATAGTGAATTTTTTTATTACAGGGCCCCAAATGATATATCTTACAACACTATAGTACTATTATATAAAAAGGTCTAATGTTCTATTCATTATAAAAATACTAAGTTTTCAGTTCATACATTTTCAAATTCCAGTATCCTCAGGCTATTAAATATGTCCCAAGTTAGCAGGCACCTCAGAAGGTAAGACTGCACTCAAGTCTTTTGTTCCTGTCTGCCAATCAGTCCCTGTACATGTGAACATGCTGCCAGCACAATCCATAGGGTTATATTCAGCATGACATTGATCCATCTTACTCAGCTTAAATCTTCACTGATAATAAGCAGAGGTTCAATACAGTCTCCTATGACTTAGAGTAATAATTTTAATGTTTTTAAGTATAACATCATTGTGACTTATTGCTACAGGCCCATTACATTTTGACAAACTAAGGAAACAAGTATATACAAACATCAAGTCTATATAAAGATTTCCTTTTGGTAAAGTCCTGTATCAGAAAAACTAAACCATAACATTAATCATGTTAATTTCCTGCCAAATAACTGGAGCTAATAAGCTTTAAAATAGCTTTAGAGAAAGAACCCTCCTAGAGCAAAGAAAAGTACCCAAAGTATATTTCTTGGCTGACATGCTGACACACTGAAAATCAATATGCAAGAAGCATATAATATATGCACTCAACTTTATTTTCTGCAAATAGAATATAGATTCACATGCTTTTCATATTTCTGGAAATTGCTTCAGAAGATTTTTCTATTTTTAATCTGTTTGTCTTCCCTTTAATGTTTAAATCATGGCTGGAGGTACAGCTCAGTAGTAGAATGTTTGCCTAGAATATGCAAGGTCCAGCATCACAAATAAAAACAAAAAGATAAATCAGTATTGACCAATAAAAGCAAAGTATAAAGAAAAAWTTTAAATTAATAGCAAAAATACAACTGAATAAGAAACAAAGGTAAAAGACATTAAGAGGGATTTCTTCGAAGAAGAAATAGAAATTTCTATATTAAACACATTCAAATTAGTAATAGGAGAAAATATGCCGAGTGAGACCACAATGAGATACCATTKTATGATACCCAACTTGGCAAAAATTTGACTATTCCAAATGTAGGCCAGGATCTACAATCCTGGAAATTATGRCATTCTGGTGGGAACATTAAATTGGTACCGTTACTTTGAAAAGCAATTTGACCTTATCAATTACAGCTGATGATGTGTTTTTATTGTACAATCCAGCAATTCTATTCAAGGTATATTKTCCACTCTTAGGTATGTGCACCACAAATCACAAACAAAAGAATGTTCATAGCAACATTTCCTTTTCTATTTATATTTATATGGGATATTTTCATACAATGCAATATTTAGTAGTAAAAACTCCTATTGCAATAAATGTAAAAAGGAAATGACAGAAGATATATCCAGCTTAATTCCATTTATTATTCTTTAAGGATACATACATGAAAACAAAATGATAAAGAACAGGAAGGCTGTGATCAGCATGAAAGCAGGACAGGGCTCCTTTTATCGGACAAGGAGGAGGATAGGTTGGGGGAACAACACACAGTGCTTCACAAAAARGCAGTAAGGTAGGTGGCAGGCACACAAGGATTTGTTTATTATTATGCTTTATCTTTAATATATATTATATGTGTATGTAGGTGTCTATGTGTATTCCACTACAAGTATGAAATTTTTAAAGTTGAAATGGTTTTAAAAAAGAAAAAGATTACATGTAATTTTTCAGATGAACCACAGATTGGAGTGCTAAGAACTTACTCAACTCTATCATCTACCACTGGACATAACTGCTGCTTTTATTTCTGCTTCATCTTTGAGGGTGGAGACTACTGACCTSCTTGGATAGGATCCATCACATTTTAAGGGCTCAATATATGCTGATAGAAAGGACAGCCAATCATGCATTTCTAGAAGTAGGAAAACTTTGCAGATCTGAGACACAAGAAGGCAGTGGTCATTTTGCTTATTTGGTTTCATGATTTAGCACATTTCTGCAAATTTACAGCTTGTTCCCTTTGATCCCTCCCTCCACCCTCCCTTTATCCTGGTGTTCTAAGGTTTGACATAGTTTAGTGATAAAAGCAACCTCAGCTACTGCCTTCAGCAAAGTTTTCTTCTGCTTTCAGAGGTGACTGGCTGCCTCAAAGGGACCCTGACAGAATAAGTAGTGGTTAACCTGTCCTTGTATTCTGCAACCAACAGGGGACCATATCCATCAACTGTGGCTTCAGTTGAGACCACAAAGGGAACTGAACCAAGGCAGTGGCTGAATGATTAACTCTGTCCTTGGTCACTATCACTGGTCACTGTATGAGATGACTCTGTGTTCCCCTCCCAACACAGGCAGGACCACCTGCATGGTTCCTCAAATGATCACATGATATATCTGCATTGTTTCTTTTTTTACAACCAAATCTGCAGCTTTCATGCACAGATTCTTTTATGCACAGGTTTGTGGAGAGGAGTAAAAACAAATCTTCCCAGGGAAACAGAAAGGATTCAGCCAAACCCAGAACTAAAATTAGAAAATGTGATAAATGGGAGGAAACAAAACTCTTAGAACACTTGTTTTCTGGAATTCATTTTTCTTTAATGCTGAGTATAAATATCAATGCCTTAAGAGACAAACACATACAAACTGATATCTAAAAAACAATAATTATATAGATTGAAGTGGATCCCGACACTTAAGAAGAGCTGTTMAATGAAAAGCATTTCTAGGAAAAAGCAAAGTCCCACAATAAAATCAGACAAATGAAACAAAACAGAAAGAAACTTTGGTACCTTTCCATAACAAAAAGATAAAAATAAGTTCAGTTCATTATTAAATTCATGTGCTACAAAAACATCTATGCATAAGTGTTGAATTAATGAATAAAACAKAAAAATCTCAAATATATTAGAGTCTGAGGGCAAAATACCTTCATTTTCTCTTCTTTGATTTTAATAAAACATCAGAATTTGGAAAAACAAGTTATTTCCCCAAGTAAWTTTTCTTCTGGTCTGCATACACCTTGCAAGATGGTACTCTATATTTCATATAATTTTAAAATGGCATATTTGATTTTTAGCAACCTAAGAAACCTATTATAGGAAACTAAAATTCTGTCTTGAAATATCCTTGTTATTACATCTATGCCTGCAAATCCACTTCTTTCCTGGGTTTTAAAGACTGGGATTATCAAAATCAAAGGCAGCTAGTTAAAGGAAATAAGAACATCATTACTTTATGCTTGGAATTCAGCTGGTCGGAGTATGATTAAGGACACTATATTCTCTGTAAACAGGGTGGTCCTGGAGGGCAATACTTCAGTACTCTGTGGAGCCTGGATACTGTGGTAGATTCCATACACTGTGCTTCTAGTCTATCCTAGCAAGGACACTGCCACCTGAGGGTGTTCTCTTGTACTTCTTTATAGCCCCCTCCCAAAATCATAGTAAGATGGTTTGTATTTGATAGTAGTTTAGCACTATGTTTAATATAATCATACTAAGCATATTATAGTTAATTTGAAAGTTATCAGACAAATTTGGGTGGCTTTCTCTGGTTAGCAATCATGGTATTGATACTACAATCCTAGAATTTGCAAAGCCTCAACCTTATTAAGTTAGTTCTCAGCACTCACTTGTAAGAGCAGACTAAATGTAAACTGAATAATTACAACATGACAACTTTAAAAATTGCTGTATCTTAAAAAGAAATTACACCACTGGATGGTGTAATCCCAGTGTCTCCAGAGGCTGAGGCAGGAGGATGGAAAGTTTGAAGCCTGCCTGAGCAATTTAGTAAGACTTTGTCTCAAAATAAAGAGAGAGAGAGAGAGAGAGAGAGAGAGAGAGAGAGAGAGAGAGAGAGAGAGATGCAGCTGAGTGGTAAAAGCACCCCTGGGTTCATACAAAAAAAAAAAAAAACTTATAAGCCTTAGCAGAAGATTCACATACTAACATACTCAAATACAATATCCAGTTAGAAATAAACATTCCTGGATAGTCCCTGGGATATATCAAATGGAATATGACCTGGATCTTGTTTAATATCAACTAACCAGTAATACCCATGATTTGACAACAGCTTTCCTTGGAGAGAAAACTGCAGATCATATATTTTCCAGTCAAGAAGATCTSTGTCATGCTTTCCGTCTGACTCTAGTCCTGAACTGCAAATATCAGGCTGGGATTTCAGCTTCAGCATTCAAAAAGTGCTTTAGAATAGTCCACATTTATCAAGGTATGGGGACAGGGTATGTGATGCTTTAATTCATTTGCTCTTTCAATTTCTTACACATATCCTTCTCAGTATCATAATAAAAGGTCTAGTATTAGGATGCTAGGAATAATTGAGTATTTTAGTCATCCCTCTTAGAGTTTATCATATTCAAGGCTGTTCCATGTTTGGCAATTCAAAACCCTTAAAAATATAAGGATATGGAAAAGACACCTCTGCCCTAATAAAGTAACATATTCAGTGTTTATCAGCGTCCACTCCAATGGGAGCAGATCTGCTTGCCAAATACAATTCAGAGTTACTCTTTAGACAGCCCCCTTCTCATATATGTTGCTCTGAAAACTCACTTGTGCTTATATATGAAGTAAGAATGTGTATCGATTTTACTCTGAAAAGTATGAGACTGTGGCTAGATGAGAAAAATAGTAGAACAATGAAAAGTAACATAAGAAAAAAATTAATTCTATAGCAATATTGGTATCTTTTAATATGCATCATCAAGGGTCCACAAAATATATCTAACTGAGATCTTCCTTTCTCAAAAAAATATAATCCTTTCACAAAATAGAATAAGCAGCTGTTGGGGAGCTGAATTTAAAAAATATATGTGCACTTATGTATATATAAATTGCTAAAGCTGAAATGCCTTCAGATACGAATCAGACAATTTCCCTATAAACTGACTATCTAATTAGTGCACCTCTTAAAATATATCTTTCAAGCAGTCTTGTGCATTTAGGTGAAACTTTCCCCTTGCAATAGTAATTATCTTCATCCCTGTAACTTGGTTGTGATCATGCAATATTGCAACAGTAATTTCTGGAAACATCTGTAGGAGCTTAGAGGATTTGTGAGGGTTAAGAGTTTCCATTACAAAAAGGAATCTAGAACATCTGACATTTTCAACAGGTGTTATTACAAAGCACTGGAGCAGTGATGTTTATGATTCTGTAGCAAAAATCTTCAATGCCCTTTTGTCAATCAGCATTGCTTTTTTCTTTTTTATTCAAAGATTCTAATAAGCCTGGCAGACTAATTTCAAGGATGCAATCCAAGCAGCTTAAAGAGAAGTAGGTTTATGCAATAYTGACATCTACTATATCCTAGGGCAGACCCAACATTTTCTCTCTAATGGTGCCACCCACTTGTCTATCAGTTATTAAGGAAGCACACCCGTAACAGAAGACAGTACTTTCAGGTGAGTGAGGCAACTGCAGGCAAATTGGGAAGAAAAAATCCACCTCAGTCCTGATTTGGTTTAAAGCAATCATGCAATCCCCATTATACCCACATCTTCCAAAAACACCCTTTTCGTGGCAAGCAAAGTTACTGATGCATGTGGCTTTTGTCACAGTGATGCATTAGGTAAGCAGGTGTGTGCCGAGTACCAATGGGTGCTCCAAAATGCATCTCCGTCACCTTCCACTTTGCCTCACTAAGGTTCTGCCTGTTAAAAAAAACAAACAAAAACACCAGTTACAGCATTGCGTTACATTGACAAGAAAATCTGCTCTTGGCAGTATTTTTTTTTTTTAAATGTCAAGAACAGAGATGTTGGAAATACATTACCCCCAAGTGATTGTTAAGAGCAAATCCTGGGTTTCGGGATCAGAGCCCAGATTTAAATCACATTCATCTGATCTGCCAAATATAAAAAGTAGAAAGCAACATCCCACTGAGTCTCCTCTTAAAGGTACCATTCTACTAGCTCATAGATGGGTGAGCATTATCTCACCCAGGGGGCTTGCAGAGGCACTGGTTTATGCTGACCCTATGTGAAGAACAGCATTGGTATGGCCATAACTGCTAGTAAATAGTCGCTGCTTCAATCACCCAAGTGCCCCTCCACTCCTCTCCAGCCATGATCCAACTGCTAAACAGCTGTCACCTGGCACAGGAGGCCTCCATAGCCTCCAACTCTGGCAGCATTTCCCTTCTGTTAAGTATTCTAAATATCACCCCTGAATGGCAAAGATCAGGAAGCAAAAACTTCTATAACAGGCTCTGATTAGTCTATTAAAATAACAAACTTGATGAGTTTCAACATAAAATTATTAGCAAGAAGGCCTCCTTTTCTCGTGCTTGTGTAAGTACCATGGTGGGCCAGCCCCTGTTGGCTCCAGCCACTCACAGGGGACAGTGTTYCCTTTTCCTGAGTTTCTACACCTCCCAACTTCAAGAAAAGCATAAAAATCTGTATTTTAAATATTAGCAACTTATGACCAATGTAATTCTACATCATGTACAACCAGAAGGATGAGAATTTATATTCCACATATGTATAATATGTTAAAATACATTCTACTATTGCGTATAACAAATAAGAACAAATTAAAAAATTAAATAAATATTATCAACCCATTTACTTTTGACTTTCAAAAATTCTGCACTGGACAGATAACATATCCACAGCTAATGTGGCCTGCAAGACACCATTTGGTGATTTCCAGGCTTCCTCTGCTCCGTTTACTTCTGGGAGCAGCTTACTTGGAATCTACACTGCACCTGTGCCTGTGGGGCCCATGAATGCTCYTTTCCCATTTGTGGAGCAATTATAGATGCTAACGGCATCCTTATGTTTCCTGGATGGCTTTCCTATCTTATCTTTCATGTGTGCATGAAAGTAGGGAGTAGGAAAGGAGATAAGAAAAGGGGGTTCATCTTTTGGTACATCAAATCTGTGAACACGCTGTCAAAGCCTTAATCTGTAGACCATATAATGGATTATTACCAAAGTGAATAATAAGTCACTAAAATGGGGAGAAAAGGCTAAATTTTTCCTATAGTTTCCCTTCTCTCATATAAAGATGTAGTCTAAGCTGCTCTTAACCTCTAAGCCCCTGAATATTTGTGAGAGCAAGCAACACAGACACTGCACTATGGACATCTGCTCTGATCCCAAGTGCTCCTGCCCTGCTAGTTCTCCTTCATGGAACTGAAGATGGCTGGCTGAATGGGTGGGGCTGCCCAAGGCCCTTAGTGCTTTTGAACTTGGTCCACTCAAATCAAGTCAGCTGCAATAGCACCAAGACCAACATTAACATTGTGGCCACAAGCCATGTGAGAATGTGTATTTTATAGATAATAGATTTCTTAAGAAGTTCTAGACAGAATAAATTTTGTTTTCTACTTTGGGGACATGGGGCCAGTGATGGGCATAGAACCCAGGTCTTCATGCAGGCTAGGCAAGCACTCTACCACTGAGTTACAACCCCAGGCCTAAACAGCTTAAAGAATTAAAGAGTCAGACTGCAGAGTGTCTAAAGAACMTACATCTTTGGGGAAAATGAGAACAAAGATGGCAAGTACACAGGGTTTTTAAAAAGGCTTTTACATAGACCATGGTATCCCCTGGGTTTATACATTCATTAGATTTTTCCTACCCCAGTTTTTCTAGTTCTTTGAAGATAAATCTATACTGTTTAATATGTTTGGATGAAACATGTTATAAAAATACTCTAATTTTTTAACAAGTATTCAAATGTTACATCTTCATAAAAATAGTTTTTAAGAACCTGTAAATACTTTATGTGTGGGTTTTGCCTCTACTTAAAACTCGTACATGGAAACCACCCACAACCATCTGTTGACTTGCGGATGTTAAAACAAAGCAAGATTTCACATTGGCTATGCACTGCAGGTACTGGTGTATAATTTACATTATTGATGTCTCTGCCTTCCTCCCACAGGTGTTCCAGAAATCGTAGAGATCCTGGGTAGTCTCAAAAGGCCTATTACTTACAGACAATAAAACTCCCAGTAATGTACTTCCATTTCAATTGTGTGAAAAACACACACACACACACACACACTTTAGAATTCAGTCTCTATTGTAAATATAGTCAAAACCTCAGCTACTATATATATATATATATATATATATATATATATATATATATATATATATAAAGACCGCAAGGAAACACACAAAAATGTCAATGTGAATAGCTTGGTTTTTATGGTGAATAGTGATTTTGGTGAATAGTGATTTTTATGTTCTACTTTATACTTTCTTCATATTTTTCCAAATTTTCTAAATGAGTCTAGGTTATTTTTATAATAAGAAATAAGTACTATTTATAAAAGTCAAATAATCAAAATATTTTATCTGACTTAATACCTTTTTAATTTTGAAAGTAATGTGTTAAATACATATTAATTAAGTTRTGAAAAAAATTAAAATTTTTAGGTCTAAATATGATACAACCTGGGTCCTTCAGGTTTTCCAAAAGACATATGACTTAATAAAGGGGCTTTAAAAATATTTTGACTGGCTTAGGAATTGCAGTATTTTTTCCAAGACTGACCACTTATCATAGAACACCCTTCCTTCAATGTAAAAAAGCTAAATGTGCAAAAGAATTTTCAAATATGGCCTTGATTGTGCTATCACAAAAATTTTAAAGTACAGTTGTCCCTAGGTRTCTGTGAGGGATTGGTTTTAAGATCCCACCCCCTTGAATCTGCAGATACTCAAGTTCCTTAGAGAAAATATCTGCACATAATGTAGGCACACCTACCTATATACTTCAGATCAGCCTTAGATTACTTATAATACCTAACATGAGGTAAACAGGTGTTATACTGTGTTACTTAGGAAATAATGACAAGAAGAAATAACTGTACATGTTCAGTGCAGAGGCAGTTTTCTTTTCAAATATTCTTTTTGGGGTCAGGGTACCAGGGATTGAACTCAGGGCACTCGACCACTGACCCACATCCCTAGCGCTATTTTGTATTTTTATTTAGAGATAGGGTCTCACTGAGTTGCTTAGCACCTTGATTTTGGTGAGGCTGGGTTTGAACTCACAAGCCTCCTGAGCCGCTGGGACTATAGGCTGTGCCAGCACAYCGGCTTATATTCTTGACCCGTGTTTTAATCCACCAATGCAGAGAGTGAACTGTGATAAAAATTGCAATTTAAAATAGAAAGCAGCTATACTTTTTGCTACCTTAAGTCTTCTTTGAAGAATGAGGTCTAAATTATAAGTAAATCAATGYCCTAATTTATGGCAATGACTGACAATGGAAACAGAAAAACCTAGGCATCTTTGTGTGTCTTAATACTAGATAGTCTATAATTATGAATAGAGACTATCTGTGCATCTCTTTAACACTTTCAACCTCTATCCCTAAGAACAATTCAAGAAAGATGAATTTTAAAGCAAAAAGGAGAAAAAATAACCTACCTTTGATGCCAATCGTGGTTTCAGGCCTAAGAATGAAAAGACAGTGTTGCTTTCCTTCGATTCAAAAAAACTGTCATAATCCTAGAAAAAAGAAGAGGAAAGTAAAATCAATAAACAAACAAACAAACAAAAAACAGTATGGTTGGTGCTTCTGACAAATTTCTTTTTTTTTTTTTTTTGTATCAGGGATGGAAACCAGGGGTGCTGAGCCACTGGGCCACATCCCCATACCTTTTAAATATTTTATTTAGAGACAGGGTTTTGCTGAGTTGCCGAGGCTGGCTTTGAACTCTGGATTCTCCAGTCTTAGCTTCCCAAGTCGCTGAGATTACACCCCCAGCTGAAAAATCCTTTATGGAAGTAAAAAAATGTATCATTGCTCTGTCCAGGCCAAAGAATGACACATAGCTACTAGATTTAATCTGTTAGGGCCTAAAAATTTCCTTGAGTATGATGATCAATGTAACAAGTTTTTAATCCAAAACCTGTGACAGGATTAAAAGGTAAAACATTTGACAACAGAAATGAAATAGGGACACATACCTCACGAAAAYAGGAAAACCTCATGTGCCAAAGTAACACCTGTCTGTGTGAGTCACACTGACCTAAGGTTTTACTCTAGGCTTCAACATGGAAGGCTGCCTCCCAATTTCACTCTTGACATTTTGCTATCTATGGCTTAAAAAAAAATCAGTAGGTAAACATAAAGCCACAAAGGTCTCCATGTGTCAATGCCAGTGTTTCTATTCTGCTTTTGAAGTTTTCCTCATTCTTTGAGACTATGTCTTCAGAGAGAATAAAAAGATCAAATAAAGACTAAAAGAAACTATATTCTCTCTAACATTTATCTTTGCTTCAGACACAGAATCATTTTTCTCTTGCTACTTTCACAAGAGAAGCCAGGGAGAAATTCTAGACAGTGTGTGAATTCTTTCCAAAGTTTACGTGTATCATACTACCTAGTTTCTAAGTTGATGTAAATCACTTTTAAAAATGGCAAATTTTTCCTAAGGATAAATACTGTCAGTAGACAATGATTAGAATCGTTTGCAGGCCTTCCTTTTTTTCTAGGTGCCTTAAAATCATTACATCATTTATTCTTCACCACAGTCCATGAGATTAGAGACTGGCTCCAAGAGAAGCAATATATTGCCCAAGTTTGACCACCAAGTGGAAGAGCTGAGATTTGGGGCCATGTTTAACTAGTGCTGAAATTCACACTCTTTCTTTCATCCTGCCCAACAAGAAACCAGGCACGGAGTCCCCTGTATGCTGCTCTCACTGAGCCCTAAGGAATCCACTGCTGAGCTGRGCCAATGGCATTATAAGTACTTTTGAAATTAGTCTAGAAATCTAAATGAGTCAGTAACTTGTACAGTAGAAGTTTGCTTCTTGAAAAGCATGCCTCCTCTTTTGAACTGCATGGGTTCTCTCTCGTCCAGTGAGGGGGTCCATGGAACAGGGTAGAGGAGAGTGTGGCTGCGGAGTTGCTATTTAAGACCTCCAGAGACGGAGCAGAAAGCAGGTCTGATTTTATTGTGCAGTTACCATGTATATATACTCAGGCAGTTGCTAAGCAGATTACAGGCATCCAACAATACAATTTTTGGCCAATTGTCCTTGCAGCAACCAATTAAGGGGCAGGATGTGGAGCAAACACAGGGACTATAACACATGGCCTCACACCCAGGGCATGCCATGTACTCCATGCACCTGTCCCCACAGAACTGTTTGGCTCTGTGGACAGATTCTCTTGTCCAAAATCTTTATCAACCAATCTCATGATTTTGAAGTTAAGTAATTTTAATTCATGGTCATCTGAGCTTTAGGCTTTGCACTGGTTGCTCTGTCATTTAGGATCAGCCCTAAAGAGAAGACTGTGTTGACAAACCAAGAAGAAGAAATATCTGAAAAGAAAGGCTCAGCATTTAAGTTAAAATATAAAGATGTAGAATTAGCACAGAACGTGTTGGGACAGGGTCATCCAGGGCAGGGGAAAGCACAGTAAAGGGCAAGGTTGACTGGGATCCACATGTGCTGGACTTTGTAAAACAGAAAAAAAAGTTTTAATTTAAGTATTAAATGAAATAATGTAAGGGTTTTAAGCAAGGGAGCACACTGATTCACCTTCCTTTAAGAAAATACCTAAGTACCTATACGAAGAATGCTCAGAGAGGGGGCAGCAAGAAGGAAACCAGA